AGAGGCATACCCTGTGGATGAGGGAGATGGAGTGAGTGGCTCATCCCACGCTCTAAAAACACTTTGAATAGATGGTGTACATACGTGATTAAAAACAGGAGTGCTGGCATCACCTCCCCGAGCTGAAGCATGCCACAGAACCTTTCGCGAAAACCTCACCAATGAGCCTAAGCTTGTGTAAAAAGGGAAAGTTTGGCAACGACAAGCACGATGGATTAAAATCCTGCTTTTATTGGTTTAATTTCCTGTGCTCGATGTAGAAATTTGACTTCTTGAAGAAACTGTTTGGAAAACAAGTGTGGCTTCTCAACTATTTCTACATCCGACAAAAAAAAGGACTGGACTGACTCCACTTCCAACCCACAGTTGTGTGCATTCACAGCTCCTGTTGCTCCTTCTTTGTAATTGAAACTTAGCTGTGCGAGACAGATAGGACTCAGCAGGATTAGCAAAGAAGCATCTTTGTCATCAAAGGCAGGGACACCGGATACAGTCACCTGATATCAATCCTACCAACAGAAGATACATTGGTCCGTGTCCCCTTACAAAGTCTGCCACCATTTTAAACCATCCACCATTTTAAACCATCCTCTCAGTGATTAACTTTACATCCAGACTTTTCCTGTCCGTGTTTTCTTGTTTTTAAATACTTTGTTTACTGGTGAATGTGTTGTTTTAGAGGAAACAACAAGCAGAAAACACAATCATTCAAGCAGCAAGCGGTGAAGATGATTCACGCTCAGCATGAAGAGAGAAATCAGTACGAGCATGCCTTAACTTTGGAAAGAAAATAGAAAACAACATAAATATGGCTGGGTATTTCAGACATAAGTGACGTAAAGAGCCTTCCATTGGGATGTAGCTCAGCAAAGAACAACAAATTCTGATGCGTAGCGATGCATTCAGACCCTGAAAAAGGTTGAACCAAAGGCTTACAGTTTCTCACAGAGCAAGTCTGAAAATAACACAGGAAGCTGCGACATCAACATCCAATGTATACCATCTACAGACGGGGATTTGTTTTCTTTTCATAGTCATTGCTCTATTAAGCCCCACACTCAGGAGCCAATTTCCGTTTACAATCTACCAACAAAGGTCTTGGATATTTAGAAAACCGAAAACATTACTTTCGATTAGAAACACATGCAAATACCACTTAATGCTGTATTAATGCAGCACAGCAGTCATTACGCCCAGACGGATATTAGCTAGAAACGACACTAGAGGTGAAAACAGCGTCGTGCCGGCACACAGCCAAGTCACACAACACTGAATGAGGATAAACGCCGCGTCACACTCCAAAACAAACACCTGCTACAACGTGGAGCGGCGCGTTTGCTCTGCAGCGGCGGAGCCGGGCACGCCGAGGCTTTTCTCTGTGTGTCACTTCAGATTGTGAATGGTACAGCAGGCGAGTGGCTGTGGAACTCTCCTGCGCTGCAGAATTCGTGAACTCCTGTGACTTGTGATGCACATGCACAGAGCAGCAACGTGACAGCCGCTTTGCGAGGTGAAAGGGGGTTCGGACGCGCGTCCGAGACCAGATATGTAGACCGGGGCGAGCCATCTGATAAAGACTTGAACATTAGTAAAGGCAAATATCAAGCGTCCGTGTGAAAATGGCTCCTTGACAGCGCAGAGGAACGGATTGACTGGTGCAAGATAATAAAAGGACAACAGTCATTCGAGTAAAGACTTTACAACGAGTGAGAAAGAGATTATCTGATGATTACGTCTCAGTTTGAGTTCAGATGGCACATGATTGTTTCAGAGGTGGGAATCTAACAACATTTAGCTCAGGTGGCGTGTACATGTGAAAGTAAATCAATAAACCTTCATCATGAGCAGAACCATGAGCTGAAGAGCTCCCCTGAGTGTGCTGCACTTTAACCTTTGGGGAACAGGCGACCCAGCAGAACAGGACAAATAAATGTAATAGTTTGTTTTGAGCCCTCTTAAATGTAACCCTGCCTTGCATCAACCATTGAGTTTTTCAGTGAGGGGGGGGGGGGTTGTTTTTATATATATTTTTAACATATACTGAGTCGTAGAAACTTCAAATGTAGGAATAAAAGGCAAAGCTGACCCAGGCTTATGACCATGACCTTTTAGTGAACCTTCTAATCAGTCATATACTTTCAGAAGGAAGCTTCCACATTCCACAAATGTCTTTATCATCTCAAATTTGCTTCCTGGATAAACTTCCTGTTTTCCCCAAAAACCTCCTGCAAGACAAAAAATTTCAGTTCATATTTCCACAATCTAGATCTGGATTCGTCGGGATAGTTCTGGGGTGCAAAAGTGGGTGCAGCCCAGTGGCATCCGAGTGGAAATGTAATCTGCATACTCTATTCAAGCACATTACAAAACCCCTGACTCCTGAGTTTTGCTGTCACTCAATGACTCAGGCTGCCAACATATGAGCAAATGCGTGTGGGAATTTAAAAAAAAACAAAAAAAACACCAAGCTGTTTTCTACCAAAGACTGCTGACAACCAGCCTTGCAGGGTCACTTTGCCACAATGCTGAAAAATTCAAACGTCAACCTCCTTTTTGCAGGATGTTGAATCGGTTTACGCTCATCTGTGAAATACTAGATAGTAACAGCCGAGATTCAAACACACGGCCACGTGCTGTGGGAAGAGAATAGCTGGCACGATGGTGTGCATGTCAGCAAATGCACCCACCCAAAAAAAAAAAAAAAAAAAAAAAAAAAAAAAAAGTTGAGCTTTCTCAATTAAAAAACGCATTGAATCATCTTAAGAGCACATTCCATCATCTTTCTTTATTCATAAAATATCCACCGGAGCAATGCCCTGTTGACCTGAATTTATTTTCTCTCAATGAAGAACACAAACATGTCTTCATCTTCTGCACAACACATACATTTAAGGTGATTTCTTGGCGCTGAACCGAGCTCACAATGATGATTCTGTACCAAGCTGTGCAGCCTCAAAGCGCTCGCTGTTTGCTGCTGGCTTCACGCTCGCTCCCTCGCTGGCCATTTCATGCGTCGACAGGAGGATTTGGCCATGCAGAGACATCAGTGCTGCTGCTGCTGCCTGCAATATGTGACCAAGTTTCCTGCCAGGTTCTCCACTGAGGAGATTTCATTACTCGTTACCTAATCTATCCCCTTCTGGACGGGCCGCTGGGCGTTTTCTAACAACATTTAGCTCAAGCCAAGATAACGTATGTCTATTTGCTTATCCATGGATAGGCACGTACTGGACAAGAGGGAAATTTAATTTCTTTTGGGTGGAAAATGGAACGCCTCCAGTCCGCTCTGGAGACTTTTGAGTTGTGAACTGATATATGCGGTCTAACAATCATCTAGGGCATCAGATTCCCTCAATGTCTGCTAAAACAAATGGCAATTAAAGCATGAATGGAAAAGATTGATATCAATCGATATCTCTGCCAATCCACACACAATGCAGCAGGGGTGCCTGGAGCAGAAAATTGCTCCAGCCTTCAGTTAGGCATGCATGTCTTCGGAACTTTGAACGGAAAGTAGCAAGTGTGCTCCAATAGCATGAATTTTAGGGACTGCATGGTTACATCGAGGGCATCATTAGTATTCATGGATATTTTTTGCTCGGCACAAATAGGCAAAAACAGAATTTTTATCCCCCTCCCACATCCTTTTGATCCTTAAATATCTGATGGTGGGCTGTGACTTAAAAAGTGAGTGACTTGAGCTTGCAGTCCTAAAACTCACACAACAAAATGTTAAATAAGGAAAATACACAAGCCAACTTTTACCAGCGTGCTCGCTTGAAATCCTGCTGCTGGATTATGACCTCCATACATGTTATTAGCCAAAATGAAAGGAAGCACTTCAAAGGACCCCTTTCCTGAATGTATCTGTTATCTCTCCATATTTTTCGCATTGTTCCACAAATTAATATGCCTGCGTTTATTTTTTCCATTTTTAGATTAGATTTGAGATTCTCCCTAGAGGTGGGTCAGACGTTGATAACAGAAATATTAGAGTTTGCTCATCCTTAACATTTAATATTACACACAGGAGCTCTCCATCTCATGATGGAAATTTGGTCTGACCCTAACATTTCTGGAGCAAGTGAAATGTCAGGAAATCACCCTAACCACAACCTCCACATGATGACAGCCAAGATATGTGCTGCTGCCAGTTAGGGGGAGCAGAAGTGAACACGACCGGAGCCTCCTGGGTTTTTTTCTCAGCACCTCTGTCCTCCCGACTATTTAATTACCAGCGTTTCACCACCTCCACCGGGCACCGCCGTGTCAGTCAGTCTAGTCCGGCCACGGTTTGACCCACAGCCCTGTCATAAAGTAGTGCAGAAAAGAAGTTCCAGGAAAAACCAAACTGTTATTAGTTCATTCACGTTTAATTATCAGGCTGAGCGTCTGTTGTGAGTGGTGGAAAACAAACAAACAAACAATCACCAAAAACGGGGTGAGCGGCGGGCTTTCCCGGTGGCTCCAGGCTGACAATACACGCACCACGGTGTCTCTCCTCTTTCAGCTTTAATTCCTGCCAAGTTACTGGTGGAGGTCGGTGACATTTCTACAGCCAATATCAAACGTGTGTTACACCCAGCCTTCATTAAAGCAAGGGAACCGTCTAATAAAGCAAAAAAAACAACAACAACAATGATACGACCGCGTAGCTGTAAAATAAATGTAAACAGGACGTGTCGGCGCGTGCGGAGGAATCTCCGGGCTCATTAACAGCCCTCTAACAGACCCACAGCCTCAAAATGACGCACGGAATCCACTTTTCTCCCACTCTGTTGGCGTTTCTGCAACCCCTCGGGATTTCGGCTCCGTCAGGTGTGGTGTCGGTCCGGCTCTGCTCGCAGCGTGGGTGTCGTTGGCCCCTCACTTCGAAGCGTCGAGGAGTTGTTTGTTTTGTTTTGTTTTTTTTGTGTGGTTCGCCTCTTATCGCAGCTGAGTAATCAGGCGCGCGCCAGTCCGTCGCCACGCGCGCATACTTTTTTCCCCCCCCACACTTGTCACTCACCTGCGTTCCGGAGCTTCTTGTTCCGATACACGGAGAAGATGACCAAGAGGTTCCCCAGGATGTCGACGACGGTGGTGAAGATGAGGAAGCACCCCAAAGTTGTGGTGACCCACGGCGGGCGGCTGAAGACCGTGTCACTGGGGTCCGGCGTGGAGCTGTTCAGGTGAGACCCATTTATGACCATTGTATTCAGTCGCTGAACTTTTCACCAAAACTGAGCCGAATTCGACCTCCGGTGACTCCCCGCGAGCCCTAACGAGCGGCTGACTTTGGAGGCGCCAGGGGTTGGACACTATAACCTCCCGCGGGTCTCATGTTCATGCCCCCCCTGCACGCGCTCCTCTCCCTCCTCTCCTTGTTGCTCCTCTTTCCCCGCGAAGACTTTAGCGAGCTGCCCACGGACCGGCTCCGGCTCCGGCTGCCTCCCGCCGCTCTCTGCTGGCCGCCGTGTCACTTCTGAGCCCGCGTGCCATTCACTTTGTTGGTCCGCGCGTGCGACATGAAGCCGCCACTTCAAACCTTCGCAGCGTGTGACTGAGCGGAGCGCGGAGGAGCGCTTTTTTATCGGCAGGGTGAAACACTGGCGACCCGTGGCCGAGACTGGGAAGAGCAACCGAGCAGCCTCCGAAAGCGCCCTACTTCCTCCGGTTTTCATTCATGGCTTTATGCTCTCACGCTCGCTTTATTTCCGAGGCCCCCATTCATTTCCTTTTTGAAGAATCATTCATGTTTGATCTCTTCCGAGAAGAAAAACTCACAGACTTATGGAGGCCAACAGCCTACATAAATGATCAGGCACGCCACTGAAGTTGCTCTGTTCTTTTAATCAATTTGAAACGTGGATATTCTTTATTCGCAGCTTGATGGATGCTTTTTAAAATTTTTCTAATGTTTCTCTCACATATCGGTCTAGAAAAAAGAAACCTCTTGTTTGTCTGATTTTTGGCCAAGATTTTATGGAGGGTGAAACATCACAGGCGGTTTCTCTCAAACTCTCACAATATGGACTTTGTGCACTGTGTGGTTCTTTATGCTCAGTAAGCAAAACCTCTCCACTCATTTAATGGTGGTCCGAGTAACCATCCACTCTCAATATCGAATATCAGCTTCCACATCCAAATAATTTCCTTCTGAAAAATATATGAATTCTGAAATCTATGCCGTAGATTTGATCTCCAGGTTTAAGGTGAGTGTTGGAGAAAAGAATTTCCATTATTCCCTGTATAATAGGATTGATAGCAGCTTGAAAATAGTCAATTAGGCACTTTGTTGAGGTCAATTCATTACTTGCTTTTTCTTAAGCAAAAGTCTAAAAGCGGCTTATGAAGTTTATAGATGTTTGTCTTTCTGACAATCAAGTCATCGGAAGTTAATGTTAGTCTGTCAGACCCATGTCTGACACTGTATTACACAATCAAGTACAAAACTAAACTCCAGAAATGGTATGCCTTCTAAAGTAGAACAAAGAAAGACATTTGTATGTGATTTCTTGTTTGAACTTTATTTAACAAAAAATGATTCAATAAAAGAAAAATATTTTTTGGCAGAGACCAAGTGAATATGTCCAGGAGGAGATTACATATCTGGTGTAGAAATCAAACTAACAATTTTACAAGTGGACTGATGACAAAGTGTGGGTGTTTTTGTTGAGGGCCACAATGTTTCAGCTGGTCAGCAGGCCTGAGTTGCTCTTGCCTGATTGTTTTTACTTTCTTTGCCCCTTCGTGATGCTCCGGACGTTTTCAAGGGGAGTCGTATGCCTCTGAATCAATAAGGCAAGTCACCCTTGTTATTGGCGCTGATGCTCCACTATACCAGCACACATGCTGATTTGTGCACCGCTGGCTGATGGACGCAGAACTGCTTCGTCTGTCTCATCTTTGACCTGTATAAGCAGTTCTATATCGGAAAACTCTGAAATGTGCAGTCATGTTAACACGGAACCTATGTCCACTTTTCACATGGGAGCTTGGGCCGAGGGAAAGGGGCAGCGTTTCTGTGCTCATTGTGCAGATGAAAAACTGTCCGTCTGTTAGTTTTGGGTTACATTTGTGCACATCGCCTCGTTATGTGTTGAATAATGATCATTTTCCAAGGTACTGCTGAACCCAGCGCAGTTGGCAGTGATCATGGTAACATTACTATTTCAGACAGAGTGCTGCCTGAGGGCTTGAAGGTCACTTGCATCGAAAAGTCCTTTCTAGCCTTGGTCAGCGAGGGAGCCCTCAAATGTTTCCACAGTATTATACACTCTTGATACTGAAAGATCAAATTAATTTATTTTCCTTGTTCACCACTTTTTGTCTGTTTTGTCTACATTTAATCTGTATATTTGTCTCTTTTGGTGCATTTTAGACACATTTCTGAATCCAAAGTTCTCCTCTGATGTGTTGTTATTTCAAATGGAAACCTTATTGGGTCAGCTGGTGATCTGTTTGTGACAAGAAACAGAAACAGGAAAATGAAAGAAGTTATAGGAACAGGATCTTCAGTCCATACAGTACATTCACTAGATGTGATCTGTGCTCTCCAGTAATGAAATAAAAGTTGAAAAAAGATCTAAAAATGTTATTAAAATTATATTCATGATGACAGTTGTTTAAAAAGGGCTTGTTAAAGTTGTAGTTCTCCTTTAGTCCACCTCAGTGTTGTTGATTCCTTTTAAACAAGCAAACTTTTGCTTAGCAAGCCAGAGTATGCAGTCAGAGTTCTGCTGGATAGATTAAACATTAAAAAAATGTGTTGTACCCAGAATATTGACCAGGTAATGAGCAGTGCAAGCAGTTCTGCCAAGATCAGAGAAAATTTTCCTCACGCTGTCAGAAATTTAGTTTAACTGAGCCCAGCTGGTCCTATGTGTCTCAATTAGTGTGTGTATGTGTGTGTTCAGCCTTACTGTTTTAGTTGTGAAGAGAGGGTTCGCACACCTTTACAGTTTTGCAATTTGAAAAAAGGCTGCAAGATACAAATATTGTCCCAATCTCATTATTTTTGTAAATAATAAATAATTGATAAAATCTATATTTTGTAATGTTAGTTTTCAGTTCAAGTTCATTTCCAAGTTCTAAATGTTGTCTGTCCTTTATTTTTATTTTTCTACCCAGCTTTTTATCACTCCACAACTCAGGAGCGTTACCAGTGGTTGTGAGGTTCCTTTTGTGCTCTTCCCCAATTCTCGGTCTCAATGATTATTTCTGTCTGTATACAGGTAGCTGGGACAAAAATGGCTTATTATTGTCAAAATACTGCTGAACTGCAATTACAGAAAAAACACAATCAGGATCTCATCTCATTCTTCTCTTGATTGAGCTGCTCTGCCAGCAGCACTGGAAAAGTCCCCATTGTGTGTCAACATTAAGAGAAGTGGAATAAAAGAAGCAACCAAGACCTATTTGCAGTTAGAGAGATCCTGGAGCAACCTGAAGGAAAAAAGGGCTACAGAGGGAAATGAAAGGGGTTTGTTTGTCATGGTTAAAAAAAAAAAAAAAACATATATATATATGTTATATGTAGTTTATTTTGTTCTTGTTTTTTTCATGGTTGATGGTTTTTCTGTATTGATCTTCTTAGTTTGTTTTCCTGTGTGAAGTTTCTCTTCCTGTTACTTGCCATGTTCACCTACAGTCTCCTCAGTAGTTTTCCAGTTGGGTCATCTTCTCATTTTTCTTAGCTCTCGCCACTCACTAACCAAAGTCTTCCATCCACCATTGTCCAACCTCTGCGAGTTATGTTTCTCTCTGTTTTCCCCTGGCTTCACTCCTGGCTTCCCTTTCTCTTCCTTGTTGTGATCCTTACTTATTTACTAGCTTGCTGTTTTCATGAATAAAATAAAAATAGGTTATTAGGACCACTGTATTCTGTGTCCACACCTCGGGTCCTCCACCACACCGTCCTCCATGACACAGCTTTTCCCTCTCATGCTAAAATACATTTTAAGAATGGGTCACAGAAGATGCAATGCAACACTGGACTTCGTTGCCCCTCCAAAAAAGATGATCCGTCAAACGAGGCCGACTCTTTTTGTTTAACCAGACAAATGCGATCTCATTTGTCTCGAAAGATAATTAGTTTAATGATATTTAAGAATGCCCTCTGCAAATCTAAAACTGCTCATTATTAATCACTGGTTGAAGAGAATAAGAACAGTACCAGGATTTTATTCTGTTGTTCAGTCTTTCTCTGTTAACAGGCTGTATATCACAGATTCATTCACTGTCAGTCCAATCATTCCATTAGAAAGACTGGTATATTTTATTGGGATTAAAACAACTGCATCAGACCGGGGCACTTTAGGAAGGACCTGTCTAACCACAGAGTTACTCTAGATTCTAGACTCTTGGCTTCTAGTCGTATAGTGAGGAAGCTCAGAGATCTGTTTTGTTTTTTAACAGGGGTGTCTCATTTCTCATGCATACGAAACAATTTCTTGTGCAGCCTTCTTCATTATCATAAAAAAAAGGAACATCCAATCTCAGTGACGCAGAAAACTGCATTTGTTACTTCAAGATTGGATTACTGTAATTCCCTATTATTGGGTTAGCCCAACATTCTCTGACAAGCCCCGAACTGATCCAAAATGTTGCAGCCTGAGGTCCGAAGTGGCCCGAGAGGTTACGTTTCTCCAGCTTTTGCTTCCTGTCAAGCTCAGAATAGAAATGATAAAGCTTAATGACCAAATGTTTTGAAGGTCTCAGTGGTCAGAATGTTCCTACAGAGCACTTTGCTCTCAGACTGAAGGTTTTGCAGCGGTTCCAGTAGGTTATAAAAGAATGAGTGGCAGAGCCTTCAGTTAACTGGCTCCTCTATGTGGAACCATCTGCTATTATATGTCCAGAAATCAGACACCCTGTCTAACCCCCCCTTAGTAGTCCAGTGCTACAGGCCTGGACTCTCCCGTCTCCTCTCCATGTCCATACGACTCTACCTTTGTCACTAATTTGTCAGAGGGTATCCCCGGTTGGGTGTCACAGTGCTTGTTTTTTTTATGCCCTCTCAATTGCCCTGCCAGTCAAGGCAAAGAGCTGTTCCTCCTGAATCTGTTGGAAAAAAAGAGTTCTTTTCTTTCACCGTCCATGCTCAGAGCAGGGAATTGGATCAAAGAGGCATTTCAATGCACTCTAATTTGGACCAATTTTGAATTTATTGATTGTATAATGTTTGTGTTACAGTGAATTGGTTTGTCAT